AATATATACTAACGCTGTCATTCTCTTGCACTAGGTTGGCTATAGACTGTTTTGCCATATAAACCTAAGGAGCATTGTGCTAAGCAAGTCTCTGTTCAAGCTCATTCCAGAGCTGGTATGTCGTCTTAGCATATAAGGTGTTTCTTTTAATGTCAACAAACACTACATTTTATATACATGATATGATAATATCATTACAATGCGGTCAATGTTCCATTAAGGGGTTGTTAGGATCTATGGGCTCTTTAATATTCCCATAAATGAACCCTAATTTGTTCTTAATACTAAGGGCTCTTGTCATTGGCTTAGCCCAATAGTGATAGTTGTTGGAATCTAGCATTTGGGTGACAAATAAGGCTTTTGAGTTTTCGTTAGTCCCTATATAGAAAGGGCTACTAAGTTTCAAAGGGTCAGAGGTTCTTTCGCTAACAGATTCAGGAAGATGGGCTGCATTCGAGATAAAGTTTTCGATTTTCATGCTTAGGTCTTATACCATAACAAGTTTCTACCTTTAATATAAAAAATCTAGCATGAAATCCGAAGAAAAAACAAGTAAAAACCTTACCTGAACGCAGAATAACTGAGAGGGAAAACCTAATCTTACATCAGCTGAGTTCTTTTTTGTTTTCGCATAAGAAAAACAAGTGTATAGAGCATCATGTTCTTATTTATGCCTTATCCAAAAATCTTAAAACAAAACAACGTCGTTTGGGCAAATATACATATATACACACATGATACACATATACGCACACTTCCACTATCTTTCCCGTTTGCCCCCTGTGCCTATCAAGGGAATTGATTATGTGCATTCGGTTTCACCGTTTGACACAAGAACACCATGATGATAAAAACTCTTGTTTTATTTAATAAGAACTTATGTAAATGTTATATATGGGTAAATATTTAATGGCCATCGAATGATCTATTTGCTACTTAAAAAAAATATATGATTTTTTTGCATATAAGGCATACCAGCAATAAAAGAAAAAAATTAGAAAAAACACATCCGTAATTTTTTTTTATGGCGACAATGTGAATATCGAGCAACAAATTATATAATATTTTTTATCTCATTTTTTAAATCTTAATAATATAACATTTTTAAACATATTGAAATTTTATTTTGTCATGATATAAAAAATAAAAATAAAAATAAAATTTTTTATGCATATTAATCACATTTATAGGTGAGAAGCCCACTTTGATGAGACAAATAAATGGGAAAAGATTTTAAATGGTTAATAGAAACTTTTTTTAAAGGTATGGATGGTATTAACCACATCAACTTTTTTTTTTTTTTGTCTTTTCATTTATAGATATTCTTTTTTATTTTTTAAGAATAAATATTTATAAAATTTAACATTTCTTGTATATATTCAAAAAATATATTTATAACTTTTCAAATAATGAAAGCCAGAAAAATAGATTCCCTGTCCGCAGTTGTAGGAACTTAGAGTGGACTTGGTCACCTCTTTAACTTGTTGGCTGTAAATCCCAAGAACCGCCTTTTTTTGTTATGGCTCTGATTGTGAATGAATGAATATTCACTCTCTCTCTCCCTCTGGATTCATATTATATTTAATTTAATTTCAAAATTTATATATATATTTTTTAATTTATATGATAACGTTAAACCAAAGTTAGAATTAAGTGTTAGCATAAAGTGTTTATTTTATTTATTCATAAACTCAAAAAAATTTATAAAATTTTAAAAGAATGATAAAAAAAATTAATCTCCTATAAGAACCTACATGAAACTGAGAATTATATTTTAAATTCAGAAATTTTAAAATAAATTAGTTAAAATTTAAAATAAATTTATTTTTTATTATTTAACAAATTTTTTTCACAAAATATACACCATAAATATTTAAAATTATTCTTAAAAAATAGACCCTTGAGTTTTTATTATAATAATTACTTACTTCTATTCTTCTCATTACTAACATTAAGAAAAGACAGTTCTGAATTTAGTAAAAAAGTATATTTTCAAAATTGATTTAGACTTAATGCGAAAGGATTATTATAAAATTTTATTTTCATAGACAAATATTAATCCAAACATTTGTTACCCAGAGAGTTTATGATAATTATATAATTATAGGTGTAAAAATGTGAATAAAATGAGAAAAAAAAAAAAAAGCTTTGTCGTTTTGGAAAGAAAGAAACAATGATGATAATAATAATATCTTCTCCTGGTACATGTATATGTGACCCAAGTATAATTGATGTTTGAATCGGTTGGCATGGCAAATCAAATTCACAATCACCACCTTTCTATATCATTACTGTTGTATGTACACAATTTTTTTAGAAATTTATTTTATTATTATTTTCTTTAAACTTTTCCTGCTGTTTCTTTCTCAATCTGTCTCCTTCACCTTCAAAGTTTCAAAAAAATAGTTGTTTCAGGGAAATTCAGATCCAATCTGCAAAATAAATGTTTGGTTTTTTTGGAACTTTCTTCATTATTATTGGCTTTGTTTGTTGTTAAATGTTAATAATTATTATATTCTCTTGATCTCAAATCAGAGAATCTCTTTCGCCCAGTTGTCTCCACAAAATATTTTATGATTCCTCTGTAAAAAAAAAAAAAAAGGGAAAAATATGTTTTTTATTTATTGAATTTTGAGAGAAAAAGATCAAGTTCATGCTTTTATGATATTTGAATTTTGATGCAAGGGAAGGCAATACGTGCAGGTTGTAGAAAGGCAGTAGGGGCAGGTGTCGCTGTTGTAACTGGCCTGGCCGCTGTTTTCTCTTTGGCTTTATTTCTTCATCTGACTAGAATGTCATTACTTTTTCTTTTCTTCATTTTTCTATAATTTTTTATAATTGTTTTTTGTGTTTGCATTTCATTATCTTCATTATTGTAAAATGAAAATGTGAATACCCAAAAAGACCCACTTTTTGACGCCAAGTGATTGCAATTTGCAGGGCAAACTGTTAATGGCTTTTTCTGCATCTGATGCTACCTGACAGACACTACCTCTCATCATATCGCCCACAATTACTTCTTCTTCCTTCTTCCTTGCTCTCCTAGCTAAACAAACTATCAACCCACTTGTCTGTTGGGACTTGGTCATCTGGGTTTGTTTTCTTTTCTTCTCTAAATATAAGGGCGTGTGGGTTTTTGTTGTCATGGAATTGAATCTAGGATCTACTTATCGTTGTTTCTTATGTAGGCCTGGATACACCAGGGATCACATTGTTTCCTATTTTTTCTGAACTACCTGACAGAGAATTGGCTGATTTTTTCATCTCTGATTTTCTGGAAACTCTCTTTCAGGTTGCTTGCTCTTTATTGAGTGTTGTTTGGATTTCACTCCTTGTTTTTTGGAAATATGAGCGGAGCTGTGCTTGTGGCTGTTGCTGCCGCTGTTGGTAACTTGTTGCAAGGATGGGATAATGCAACAATTGCAGGTACTTTGCTCTTCGGAATTCCCTAGAGTGTATGTCTTGCTCTTTATAGGATTCCTCGTGTCATAGGATTCATAGATGTTCTGTATCATGCTTTAGATGATTGCCTGATTTGATTTCTCTCTCAGAATATGAATTTGCTTTATGGGATTGTGCATAATTTTGCTTACACGATACTCGTTATCTGTGTAGATGATTACGACCTATAGTTTTTCATAAGGTTAGGTTACATGATTGTCATATCTGTTCCCTTTCTTGATTGTTTTGACGTGTCTTGGCTGCAGGGGCTGTTTTATACATAAAGAGAGAATTTAATTTGGAAAGTGAACCCACTATAGAAGGACTAATTGTGGCTATGTCACTGATTGGAGCAACTCTAATTACGACATGCTCTGGAGGAATATCAGACTGGCTAGGCCGTCGCCCTATGCTGATAATCTCATCACTTCTGTATTTTCTTAGTGGTCTTGTAATGTTGTGGTCTCCTAATGTTTATGTCCTGTTATTGGGAAGGCTGCTAGACGGGTTTGGTATCGGTTTGGCAGTTACTCTTGTTCCAGTTTATATTTCTGAGACTGCTCCACCCGAGATAAGGGGTTTGCTAAATACCCTTCCGCAATTCACGGGTTCTGGAGGAATGTTTCTATCTTATTGCATGGTCTTTAGCATGTCATTAATGACCTCACCAAGTTGGAGATTGATGCTTGGAGTTCTTTCCATTCCTTCCCTTATCTATTTTGCATTGACAATTTTATTCTTGCCCGAATCCCCTCGGTGGCTTGTGAGTAAAGGGCGGATGCTTGAGGCCAAGCAGGTTTTGCAGAGGTTGCGTGGCCGTGAAGATGTCTCTGGTTTGTTCTTCTCCGGATCTGCGTAATTTTTTTTTTCTTTCTTGGAATTCATAACCAAATTAACATGCTTTGATTTGATTCCTAGCCTTAGGTAACTCTACAAGTAATTGGGTGAGTTTTTTCTATAAGAGATGATCCTTTCTAATTTGGAAAGAACATAAATAGTGATTCACTTTCTATAAATCTTCTGGACTTCTGCGTCAGGTGATCTAAACTTTTACTGGATTCGTGCTTAATTTGAGATGCCTAAAAAAGGGGTGCATCCCTGATTGATTGCTGCTGTGAAGACTTTAGCTCTTAGTTTTTGTTCCTTGCTTCTTGAGGCAAATGTGCTTATATATTCTCTACTAGCTGGTAACATGTAAGTTGCATATTGACAGTTAGTAGTTAATATTTTTTTCCCTGCATGTCCTTAAGTTATTATTCTTATCGTTTTTCTTTTCTCTTTTTCCCTAACTAGTCTGTCCACTTCATGTACACCTTTTTATTATCTTTTGTCATGTGTGTGTATCAGATCTTACATCAGAAATTATTAGACTTAGATAACAGCAAAACACTTTTGCTTTAAGTAGTCTGTCCACTTCATGCCCCATATGAAAAGGCAGGCTATTGTCATTAACAATGGCTTGATTGAAACAGTTTTTTGTTTCCAATACTTCCATACACGATGTATACAAGAGAGGTTTGTACTCTATTCTGGATCTTATTATGGTGAAACTATGGTGTTCATATTTTATGGTCTTGGCTTTATCCTTGTATGGACTACTGAAGTCAGTTTCGCTCATTAATATAATGAAAAATTATTATTTTTTTGAGATAGTCCAACCTAAGATTATAGTCGTATATTTTCCATTTTTATGGATTTCTTTTATTTCATTTTGTTTTTCTACATATTGCGTTAGGAACAAAATAGTTCTTTATCCATGAGTTTTACCAAAGAAGAAATAAAAATAAAAATCCGGTGTAACTGCCTATATATGGATGTTAGTGTTAATATTTATTGTGTAATAACTATATAAGTGTGTTAAAATGAGTGCCAAGTGTGTATTAAGGTAAGAAATAAGTCTGTTATAAGACAAGGGCCGTTTAGACAATTCCGGAAATTCCAATTCCAGAATTAACTATTAAGGTAAGAAATAAGTCTGTTATAAGACAAGGGCCGTTTAGACAATTCCGGAAATTCCAATTCCAGAATTAACTGTTTCCTCTCTTGTATATATCCTGTGCTGTGGCTGGAGACAGTATTATGGTCTGAATTTGATGTTAATGAAAAATACGTTTTTATTCTAAAGATCACAGGGTCCTCTCTATCCAATGAGGCCTGATTCTCTACCTTAAATTTTGAAAAGATGGAACGGCAGAAAAAAAAAAATGCAAAGGTACCTACTGATTTAATGTTAATCGCCCTATAAAATGATCCACCAGTCGGAATCATAAAGTACTGCCTTACACTTTCTTTCTTTTGTTATTCGTTAGGTGGTGTTTTGTCAGGATGTTCTAATCACATTAGCGTCAATTTCTTCAAATCTTGAAAATATCATATTCGAAATTGATTACAGTTGATTAAAAATAAAACTTAAACATTTGTAACTAAAGCTTTGATAGAGCATTTCTATGTTGATTTAATATTCTGCATACCTTTTGTTTGTCCTTTATAGATCCTTAAGATGTTAGTGCTTATAATTTCTTTAATCACTTTATTTATTGATTTTCATGAAACAACAAGGTCCTTTAGGAGCTGATATTTTTGTATGAAATTAGTTGAGGACCTTTGAAGTCTTGTGAACTTATCAAGCTGGAACTGATGCCATGCTGGGAAAACTATCACTATAATATAGCATTTTTAGCTAAATTTGTGAACTTGTCATAGTTAAAATGGATCTTTTTGCTTCCTCAGAAAATGCCATCTATTTGTTACTAGGAAAGCAGCAGAAATTCAAAACTCTATACAAAGAGGATAAAGAACTAAGAAATTTTTATAGATACATATGCACATATATATACATGTACATATATTCAGTGCTTTATCTTTTATCATATTTTAGTCCATTTTTGAGCATCTACCATAATCAAACTCTTTGATATGGTATTAACTATTTGCCCATGTGATGGGATTTTGATCTTTTTGTGAGTATATATACTCAAGCTCTTTGATAAGACTATTTACCACATGATGGATTTATAGACAACAATTTTTTTTATTGATATATTTTGATAAAACAATTATAATTTGACTCACTCCCTAATGATATGTAAAAATGTGACCCTTATCATGTTTATGTTCATAGTTGTACTTGTAATTTATTTTATCTATTGTTCTTATTGTAATAGCAAATATAAGATAAATTAGTAAAGAATTGATCACTCTAAAACAAATTATTAGGAAAAATTAGTATTGAATTTATTGCACCATTAACAACATTGCATCTAAATAAAGATCTAGTTTATCCATGCCTTATTCTCCAACTAATTTATATTATGATGAACAGGCGAGATGGCTTTACTGGTTGAGGGACTTGGAGTTGGCGGTGAAACAACCATAGAGGAGTATGTAATTGCCCCCGCTGGGGATCTAACTGCTGACCAGGATATAGCCACTGATAAAGACCAAATCAAGTTGTATGGACCTGAAGAAGGCCTCACTTGGGTTGCCAGACCTGTCACTGGACGCAGTACTCTTAGTCTTGTGTCTCGGCATGGCAGCCTGGCAAACCAGAGCAGTCTTATGGATCCACTTGTTACACTCTTTGGCAGTATTCATGAGAAGCTACCTGATACTGGGGGCAGTATGCGCAGCACTCTTTTTCCACATTTTGGCAGCATGTTTAGCGTGGGAGGGAACCAAGCTAGAAATGAAGAATGGGATGAGGAGAGCCTTGCTAGAGAGGGTGAGGATTTTCAATCTGATGCTGGAGGTGGTGACTCTGATGACAATTTGCAGTCTCCATTGATCTCCCGCCAGACAACAAGTATGGAAAAAGACTTGGGTGTCGCGCCCCAGGGAAGTCTTGTAACCATGAGACAGGGCAGTCAGATGCAAGGGAATACTGGAGAAGCAGTTGGCAGCATGGGGATTGGAGGTGGTTGGCAACTGGCATGGAAATGGGCTGAAAGAGAAGACCAAGATGGGAAGAAGGAAGGTGGCTTTAAAAGAATTTATTTGCACCAAGAGGGTGTTCCCGGATCTCGGCGTGGGTCTATGGTTTCTGTAGCTGGTGATGCTTCTGCATATGGTGGTGAGCTTGTTCAGGCTGCTGCTTTGGTGAGTCAACCGGCTCTTTTTTTAAGGGAGCTTATGAGTGAGCATCCAGTTGGACCAGCTATGATCCATCCATCTGAAACTGCAGTGAAAGGACCTAGTTGGACTGACCTTTTTGAACCAGGAGTGAAGCATGCCTTACTTGTTGGGGTGGGAATTCAGATACTTCAGCAGTAATATATATAATTCTACTTTGAGTATTTTCAAAAGTTAAAACTAGGACACTTGTTCCATCCAACAAAAAGAAAAAAACATAACAACTTGCTGCGAGCTGTTAGCCTGTTCTCTCTCTTCTTGTCCACCAGGTGGTGAGAGTTGTACACAGCTTCCTATTTGAAAAA